GTAAAGGAAATATATGTCGTTAATGCACACTTTCCTCGAATTATACTTGACCCAAGAACTTGCCAAATGTCTTTAAACCGAAGCTCTCAAACTTTTTATTGTAACATTTTCCGTTTGTTAAAATCCTTTTTGTTGTTGAAATTTCACACGACCTCTTACGAGACAACAATGACTTTCCACATGGAGAGACACTTCACGGAAGCATGTCTACTGGCTTGAAGACACCGTTATAATTGAGATCCTCTTTTATTTGGAAGCGGATTCCAAGTCAGTGATTCAGAAAATTAAAATCTTAATCATCAAGAGCCGTAAATAACAGAAAAACACTTCACTTTGGGATTTAGAGACTCAGGACAGAATTATTTTCAGGTCATTTTATCAAGCAATGGGCCTCTTGCTCAGATCAGAGCGTTTCCTGGTTCATTGCACCAATGGGCTCACTCCCCGTGCAATAACCCCGCCTCTCTGCCTCCGCCTACCCCCCCCTCAGGCTCTGCGGAAGCCAGGAGCAGCTAGCCCCACATCAGTGCAAAATCCTTTGACTTCATTTCCCGTCGGCCCGCGCGGCGAGCGCCGGAAGCCCGCCCCGCCCCTCATTGTGCGGCTCCTACTAAACGGAAGGGGCCGGGAGAGGCCGCGTTCAGTCGGATCCCGGCAGCAGCTGCGGCGGCTCAGTTCTTCTGTAGCTCTCTCTGTCTCCCTTTCGCTTCCGGAAACATGGTGAGCACTAGGCCACTGTGCCCCAGGGAGGCGGTTTCGTGATCAGTCGCTTGCGCGCCGGGTGGGGTGGGGACGGCAGAGGAGCGTTCTCAGCATCCCCTCCCCCAGCGCCCCGAGCGAGATTAAGGGTCTTGCATTGAAGGGCAGGCCGCGCGTGCGCGCCCGTGGGCGCTGGGAAGGGCCGATTCGGACGTCGCTCGCGCGCCCCCTGCCTCCTTTCCCCTCCCCCATTCCGCTTTTGCGCCCGCGCGGTCACTGGCCGTGGGGGAGGGGTCCAGTGAGCCGAGCATCGGGCAACGCTCGCCGGTTCTCGATGGCGCGCGCTGGACCAGAGCACGCGGCATCCAAACCCTGCCCCGGGGCCGCTAGGGAAAAGCGCGCGCGAGATGTCGGCGCGCGCCCCACCCAAGGGCTGTTCCTTTCCTCGCATCACCCTCCCTCTGCGGATGGGTTTGTCTCCACAGCAGGTGGCAGGGATGCCACCAGGGAGGGGCGGAGGCAACTTGCTGGGGGGGGATACTAGCGCATTGGAGAGTTGGTTGAGGCACTGGCTCCGGAGACTAGGACCTTGTACGGCTAGTCGTGGAGTGGGTCCTATACAGGCTTTAGCCCCTATTCTAGAAAGAGCGATAACACACTGCCTTTTCTGTCCACTGTACTTCGGGCTGAGGCTGAAACGGCGATGTGCACCAGCGCGTGCGCACATGCTTGGGCCCTGCCTTCACAGCCGCAGCTCTGGACGCGCTAGGCCTTTGGCGCTGCCGGATGGGGCCGAGGGTGGAGCCGCGTTTAGGGAAGTGACCCAGGCGGGTACCGCCCGGAAGCCACCCAGCTCTTATGTTCAGCCTGAGGGCCTGAAAAATGATGTTTGTGTGACTCGTCCGTGCTACCTACAGAGCTGACGGGGCTCACGGCTATTCCTAAAGGAGACTCTTGGGCTTGCAGACTTCGTAGATCTGGCCGCCTCTGGGATACGAGTGTCTCTTGGGAAGGCCCTGAGCCTAACCCAACCTCCTTTCCCCGCCTACTCCGGAAGCGGGTGAATCACGTGGCTAGCTTCCTCTGCAGTTCCATGGTTGGGGGTGTTTAAGGATTTTGAATTGGGTCGGCCCCAGGGCCATACAAAGTAGAAAGTTTTTGACGATTTGGGGCACTACAGTTTGACGTATTAATTGGTTAGTGATCTTCAGGGCTCTACAACACTCTTAGAGAGTTGTCCAGCAGGGTCCTAATTAGGGGTTGTAGTTCTCTTGTCTGGGAGATCTCGATAGGTAAGAGAGTCGCTTATGCGATGACAGCATTGAAGGCTCTGGCAGCTGTTGGGTCTTTGTGAAGTTCTATCCCCTCTTTCCCGAAGATGAGTCTGTGGCCCAGGTACTGGGTCTTCCTTGAAAGTCAGCATTTTAGTCAAGCAGCTGAGTGGTGTGAATCCAATCAGTAACTTTCAGATTCTTTGAATTTGGCGTTCACAACTCAGCAAAGGTTTTTAGGAGACAGGCTTTCTCTGTGTCACCTTGGCTGTCCTGGAACTCTGAGAAGGCTTGTTCCACCACTCCTGGCTATGTTTTTTTTCTTTTTTTAACAAATGCGTTTTTAACCTTTAATGGAAGTGTTCAACTAGATAATTGGCTCTCTACTTTGTAGGGTGTTTGACCCACCTAATCCTTAGATGATGGATTGGATTGGGGAGGGGGCATCTGTGTCTGCAGGGACATTACTATTTTTGTGGGTTCCAGAGCTATACCTTTTGGTATCCTGACTGAGGTTTCCTGTTATTGGAGAGGATACCCCAGAATCCTTTCCCTTACAAAGTATATTATCTGGCTTGTCCCTCAGGCCTCTGGTGTGGCTGTCTCGGATGGTGTCATCAAGGTATTCAATGACATGAAGGTGCGCAAGTCTTCAACGCCAGAAGAAGTGAAGAAACGCAAGAAGGCAGTGCTTTTCTGCCTGAGTGAGGACAAGAAAAACATCATCCTGGAGGAGGGGAAGGAGATCCTGGTAGGAGATGTGGGGCAGACTGTGGACGACCCCTACACCACTTTTGTCAAGATGCTGCCAGACAAGGACTGCCGCTATGCTCTCTATGATGCGACCTATGAGACCAAGGAGAGCAAGAAGGAGGACCTGGTGTTCATCTTCTGGTGAGCTCCTCATTCAAGCTCTCTGCCACATTTTCCCTTTCACGGGAGAGCTTAAAGCCTCCTAGGTTTAGGGTCAGGGTTGTAGCAGAACTAATGAGGAACTTGGCAGGGAGCCGTGTTAAGCGTTCTAAGAGCTTCTTTTCTTGAGACATCTATTATTGGGGGCATCTGCTGCAGCAGTTTTCTTGCTTTGTCTTCAGGGCCCCTGAGAGTGCACCCCTTAAGAGCAAAATGATCTATGCCAGCTCCAAGGATGCCATCAAGAAGAAGCTGACCGGTAAGGATCCCCTTTTTGTGTGCCCTTTTCTTTGAGTCACGACTGCCACGTGGAGTAGATGACAGTAATGGGTCCTCCCTTCTGCCTGCTGCCTTGTTCCTTCCTTCCTTCCTTCTGCTCTTGAGACCACTTCCCAGATACAAAAACTCCCCACTCCAGTGCTCCCTGCTCACCTTCTCGCTCTTTTCTCTGTAGGAATCAAGCATGAATTACAAGCAAACTGCTACGAGGAGGTCAAGGACCGCTGCACCCTGGCAGAAAAGCTAGGTGGCAGCGCTGTCATCTCTCTGGAGGGCAAGCCTTTGTGAGCCGCCTCCAGCCCCCTGCCTGGAGCATCTAGCAGCCCCAGACCTGCTCATGGGTGTTGCAGGCTGCCCCTATCCTGCCAGACCTGAGGGGCTGGGGGATCCCAGCAGGGGGAGGGTAATCCCTTCACCCCAGTTGCCAAATGTCCTCCTCACCCCCTGGACCGTCCTCTTCCCTCCACCCTGACGGTTCTGGCCTTCCCAAACTGCTTCTGATCCTCTGATTCCTCTTGGGTTGAAGCGGACCAAGTCCCTTCCCAGTTCCCAGGCTCCCAGTTTGGGGGGAGCCTGCTTTTTTTTTTTTAACGACACCCCTATTCCTCATCCCCCCCAATCCCATGCTGCCAACTTCTAACCACAATAGTGACTCTGTGCTTGTCTGTTTAGTTCTGTGTGTAAATGAAATGTGGACATGACCCTCCCTGCGCCAGCTGGTTGCCCTCCCCTTCCCCTTGTTCTTGGCCACTCATGGAAGCAGGACCAGTAAGGGACCTTCAATTTAAAAAAACAAAACCAATAAAAAGGCTAATTAACAAGGTGGCTTTTTGGGTTTGGGATTTGGGGGACCCTATGACAGGATAATTGGTTAAGGATCAGTAATTTTCCTCGACTGCACCGTTAGCCCAGACCCCAGTGACTGAACCTCCTTTTTGGGTTGGGGCACCACAGTTGGTGTGTCACACCTGAAATTCATTGTTACTGGATCTTCACAGTGGACTGAGCCCTTTCCACCTATGGGTTAAACATAGTTTGCTCAGGTGATCTATTGAGCTATTTTCTCTGCTTTATAAGGTTCTGTTAGATCTCTGCCTTTCCTCACCCTGAGGTGCTGGCTCACCCTAAGTTGAGCCTTTGGCCTCCTGTACTTGTGGTTGGAGTCCATTCAGGGTGGATCAGCCAGGTGGAGCCCAGGACTTCAGACCCAGATGTCTGGCCCCACCTATTACCAGAGCTTAAAGCTTTGAACGCTTTGCTAGCATTTCTGTGAATTCCAGCCTGTTCCCAGAGGACTGCAGAAGGTGTGCCCTGGGACAGGTGAACTGGAGTAGTACCCTGAGTTTAAACTTTACCCACTAAGGTTGTCTCCTTAGCTTTACCCAAATAGTGGAAGATTGCAGGAAGGGACCTGTTTTTTGGGTTTTTTTGTTTGTTTTTTGGTTCCCTCCCCCAATTGCGGTTTTATGTTACATGTTGCTTTGATTTCTCACAAAGACCATAGACCCTTTAAGTTTGGCCCATTTTCTGTTTTGTGTAAGATTGTAGGAAGAATACTGGGTATTTAGCCTTGTTTTCTGTGGTGCTAGGCATTGAACCCAGGGCCTTATACATTAGGTAAGCACTTTACCTCTGAGCTGTAGCAACCAACAGATTGGAAATTGTGTTCTTGCTAGAGATGAGAGTAATATAGACCCCAAAAGACCAACTGCCTTTGGGCCTGGGTTTGTCTAAGGAAAATGGGTTCCTGAGTGGGGATGTGGCTAATGGCCATCTGGTAGAGAAGGGGGTATCTATATGGGGAGAGGGTAGAAGATGAGGACACTGTCATTGAAGGTCCTAGAGTAGCTCTCCCTTAAGGGCAACAAGGGTGTTCTGGAGAAGCAGGGTGCTGGCCTGCAGAAGAAAAGTCCTTAAGAGTTCTCTGAGCTCTGGTCCTGTCATATATACATTGTTCAGCCTCCAGGCCCCTTAACCACCACCCAATGAAGGAAAGGGAGAAATACTGGCCCCAGGAGGAGGCATTACCTCATTCTCAGGCCTGCCTGGCTACAGGGTGTTACCACCAGCACACCCCCTTAATGGGGAAGGTGGGAGGAGCATGAGAGCACAGGAGAAGGGGCCAGTGAGTGCTCACCTTGGCATGTTTGAGCCCAGCTCTGCCAACTCAGTGAGATTCTTTCGGAACCCTGCAGAACTTGAAGTCCATGAGCTCGAGAGAAGAGTAAAAAGGAATGAAGACAGTCCATAAGGGTGGATGCTCAATGTGGGACCAGGCCAGACTTTAGGGCTCTCAGCTGTTGGCTCTCTGCTGGTTGCACTTTCTGGTTCCTTGTATGAGCTTTGTCCAGTGCCTTGTTAGCATTCTCATAGTCAGCCAGTGCCTGAAGATGACAGTACAGCAGGTCCTAAGGCCATCAGCACAAAATGACTTGCCGTGGATTTTGCTGCCTGCCTTTCCCTACATGTCCTCCTTCCCTGAGTACCTAGAGCCACCTCTCACCCTGGCTGCTGGTGAGTCTCGCATGTAGTATCTCAGCATGTCAGATAGCTTCAGGTCATCTTCAGAGGCTACCCTGCCATCCAGTTTCTGTGTCAGGAAGGTGAAACTGGGAAAGGGGCTTGAGAAATGTCCTTCTGATACATACATACCCAGGAGAGAACTGCTTGGTAACTGCTGGTAATGAGGTTCTAAGTTTCAGAAGGCAGGTCAGGAAAGTGTATGCATGTGTCCAAGCCTGAACCACATAGTAGGGTAGCCATGACCAGACCACAAAAAAACCCAAAGGGCAAGCTACCTAAGGGCTTTGTAAGGACTTTGTATCTTGGGTGGGTTCTGAAGTGGGCTAGGCTCCTGCAGGCCCTTGAGCACTCATTTCAGAGACTGGCGTGAATTCTATATCTAACAGGATATCCTCAAGGCAGTCTCTGAGGTGTGGTGCATCCCCGTGCCCTGCTCTCCAACTGCCACCACCCACCCATATCCTACACTCAGAATGGTGTGCTTTTTGCATGTCTCCATTCCTTTTTCTATTTTCTGAGACAGGGTTTCTCTGTGTAGCTGTGGCTGTCCTAGAACTGTTAGCTCTTGACCAGGCTGGCCTGGAACTCACAGAGATCCACCTGCCTCTGCCTCCCAAGTGCTGGGATTAAAGGCACACACCTTGGCTCCATTCCATTTCTTTGTAGTTCAGAGTGGGAGCCACCAAGGCCACCCATCACAGAAGGCTCTCTCCAGAAGACCCTGAGTGCAGAAGGTAGCACTTACCCTCAGTTGTGCAAAGAGCTCTGCCAGTTTCAGAAAGCTCCTGGGAGGTGGATAGCAGAGATCTGGGGCAGCTCAATGCCTCTCTGCCCTCAAACCCCCCCTTGCAATCTTTTCTCCCCTAACCCCATCAGAAGCTTCTGCACAACCCCTCCCTCAACCTGGATTTCTATAGAGTGCACGCCCCTCATGGGCATGCACAGTATTGCAGGCACAGGGAGAGGCTAGGGATGGGAATCCTTCAGCTGTCCGACTTTCCTGGTTCCGAGACTGCTCAGAGCAGCAGATAGGAAGTATATAGTTGTCTGCCAGGCCTGTTGGAGAACAGTCCCAATCAGAGCCCCTAAATCTACATGTCAAGCCCCACCCATGGTGTGAGCCCCTCAACCCCGCCCTCATACACTTGTGGGAACGCATAACATGGTTGGACCTCTGGCAGGTGTGCATTCGAGTGTATTCTATTAGGAAGGTCCTCATCTCAAAGAAGTCATCTACCTCCTAAGGGATGGAGAAAGAACACTTCTTATCCAGTCACCAGGAGCATGGTGGCACCAGCACTCAATGTGTCACCATTTCCTGGCAGTCCAGGGTAGGCCCAACCAATGGCTTCCCTGCCTCAGGCAGAAGGTCACCTTGAGCCCTGATAGCCGGTGATGAGGACTTCATCTGCAGAGCTGATGATGCTTCTCCGGAAACCTCCCAAGACCTCCTTTCTGTTCGTATCTTGAACACTCAGCTAAGCACATGGGAGAGTGGGATGCTAGGATGGGGCATTTATACCTTCTTCCCTGGTCAAATGCTACCCACATGGGGAGCAAACTCGGAGAAATTCTCAGGCCTGATTCCCTGACCCTGATCTCAGATCCCAGCATTCTTAAACAGCTCACATCCTGGCTGTATTTCAAGAATACAAAGAAGTGGTCCTGAGCAGGGTGGATGGGCTGTCAGACACTGTAGGAAGACTTCATGCATTGCAACAGTCTTCTTAAAGATGGCTAAGTACTCCTTGTAGAAGCATGAACAGCCACACTGGGCTCCCGTCATCACAGTTCCCCCTCTCCCTCAGCAGACCTGGAGCCAGAGGTCAAGACTCTGGACATCTGTCACAGTCAGGGAAGGAACTCTGGAGCTCTGGGGAGGGCAGGGTTGGGGTTTGGACACACACACTTCTAGCTCCTGCTTCGTCTTGGCAAACTTCCTGGGTGGTGGAGCTGCCGCCCTCACCCAACTTCTGCAGCTTTTCCCTTGAAGCTTCAAAGTCTGGCCTGGGAGGGGCTGAGCGAATCTGCTCAAGGGAAGGGATGGATTGCCAAGGAGGCCATCACAGCCTGTATCCTAACCCCTGTTCCTGCCTGCCTCTCACAGCCCAGCCTGGCCCCTCCTCACGATGAGGCTGGCATACTCCTCCTTTCCCACATAGGTGTCATGTAGCAAGATCAATTCTTTGTGCTGCCGAACCACGGAGGACTCTGAGCAAAGTGAAGGAGGCCACTCTGGAAGCCCAGAGACCTGCATATGATATCTCCCTCAATCCTGCCCTCACCAAACCTGCTAAGCACCCACTTTTGGCATTCCCATTCTGCACCCCATTTGAAACCTGTTATTTCATCCAGAAAGGTGGGGTTTCAACCAGAGTCAGTCAGAGCTCAGGGCTGGCGGCTTCCTAAGGAGCTGGAAGCTGCACTGGTTCTGCCTCCCATCCCAGGCCATATACCCACCTCCTGGCCAGCAGTCCACTTTACCTTGGTTTGAGCAGTGAACTTCACCTCAATCCGGCTCACTCACTGCATCTGAAATCTCCACCTGTAAGGAGCTATCTCCCTGCAGATCCGACAGCATGGAGGAAGGCTTCTTGTGGGGTGAGAGGGCAAAGTGGCTGCATGAAGCTGCTTTGTCCTCCTCCCTCTCTGGAGACCCTGCTCATAGCAGTACCATTACCAACCAAACATTTCCCCAGCTCCCATCCTCAGAGACCAGTAGAATGCCCTCATTGCTCTTTTGAAGGCCCTAAGTCCTCACTTCTGTCAGTATGAAAACTGCTTTATAGGACCTAATGCAAAACGCCTTTGTGCAGAGCAGTGGCTGTGCACACCTTTAATCCCAGGCAGAGGCAGGTGGATCTTTGTGAGTTTGAAGCCAGCCTGGTTTACAGAACTAGTTCCAGAATAGCCAGAGCTACACAGAGAGACCCTCTGTCTCAAAAAACTAAACAGCAGCAACAACAGAAACACAACAACAAAAACTTCCTAAGCCTTGCTTGGTATCTCATGCCTATAATAACAGTATTTGAGAAACTGAGACAGGAAGATTACTGCAAGTTTAAGGTTAGCCTGGGGTTAAAAATAATAATGAGTTTCAGTCAGACATGGGCTACAGGGTAAGATCCTGCTCCAAGCAAAACAAAACAGCCAGGAATGGAGTTACAGATACGGGACCAAGCATTCAAGGCTAGCAGATAGGTGACAGGTTTTTTTTTTTTTTTACTTTGATCATGTTTGTAGAATTACTAGAGGAATGCATGGCAGTCATACATGGGATTTTAACTTTTGTTACCTACTGAACAACATATTATGCTCTTATCAGGAATTTGGATTTTTTTTAGATTTATCTATTTATTTTATACATACATACATACATACATACATACATACAGTGTTCTGTCAGCATGTGTGCCTGCCTGCACTCCAGAAGAGGGCACCAGATCTCATTACAGATGGTGTGAGCCACCATGTGGTTGCTGGGAATTGAACTCAGGACCTTGATCTCTGGAAGAACAGCCAGTGCTCTTAACCGCTGAGCCATCTCTCTAGCCCTGGATTGCTTTTTTAAAGACTGCATCTTACTATGCAGCCCTGATTAGCCTGGAACTTGATATATACATCAGGCTGGCCTTTAACTCATAGCAGTCCTTCTGCTTGGCCTTAGTATTAGGATTACAGGCAATAAGCCACGGTGCCTGGCTTCCTATGTTATATATTATATTATTACTATTAATACAACTACTATTATTATTTCTTGCAGTGCTGAGTATGCACTCAAGCCTCATGCTTGCAAAGCAAGTGTTCTATCACTGATCTAAACTTCAGCCCTAGTTATTTTATTTTAGTTATATACTTATTTATTTTTGAAATATCTCTCTGTGTAGTCTACTGCCTGTCAAGAACTCTATGCAGACCAGGCTGGCTTCAAACTCATAGAGATCTGTCTGTTTCTGCCTCCCCAATGCTGAGATTAAAGGTGTGTGCTACTGTACCGACCTCTACATATTTGTATAAATCATTACAATACCTTGCTAAAATTGTCATTAGTTTTTAGACTCATTTGGATTTACTACTTATATACTCCTTAATTAAGTTTTACTCTTTCCTTTCCAGTCTCTGTTCCATGATCCTTACTTACTAGTCCTTCACTACTATGGATAAGAGATAGGTATGGTGATACAGGAAACCCTTGGTTGTTTCTGATCATAGACAATGACATTGCAGCTGGGTGTGGCAAAGTACACCATCATTTCGGAGGTATAAGGAGGAAGATCAAGAGTTCAAGTCCATAATAACTTCAAGAGGCTGTAGCCAGAGTTCAAGGCCAGCCTGATCCACATGAAACATTGGTCCATAGAAAGAAAAGAGGTTGGAGGTTGGTGAGATGGATCAACTGGTAATGTCACCTGCTGCCAGGCATGATTCCGGTGTGATCTCCAGGAACCATAGGCTAGAAGGCAAGGACTGACTCCCACAAATTTTCCTCTGAATTCTACATACTTATGGTGACTTGAGAGAAAATAGTCCCTAAAGGGTATAGCTCTATGTACTGGGTGGTTTTGGGTGTCAACTTGACACAAGCTAAAGTCATCAGAGGAAGGAGCCTCAGCTGAGGAAATGCCTCCTTGAGATCCAGCTGTAAGGCATTTTCTCAGTGATGAATAGGAGAGGGCCCACCCATGGTGGGTGGTGCCATCCCTAGGCTGCTGGTCCTGGGTTTTATAAGAGTGTGGACTGAGCAAACCAGGAGAAATAAGCCAGTAAGAAGCTCCCTTTCATGGCCTTTGTATCAGCTCCTGCCTCCAGGATCCTGCTGTGTTTGAGTTCCTGCCCTGACTTCCTTCAGTGATGAACAGTACTGTTGAAGCATAAGCTTAGTAAACCCTTTCCTCTCACCATGATTTTTGTTCATGGTGTTTTCTCACAGTAATAGTAACCCTAAGACACACTATTAGGACATATGGCCTTGTTGGAGTAGGTGTGGTCTTGTTGCCTTGTTGGAAGTGTTGGGGTGGGCTTTGAGATCTTTGCTCAAGTTACATCCACTTCCTGTTGTCCTGTTATTTGAGCTCCTTCTCCATTCTTAGCTTCTCCAGCACCATGTCTACCTGCATGTTGCCATGTCCCATCATGATGATAATGGACTAAGCCTCTAAAACTGTAAGTGAGCCAGCCCAATGAAATGTGTTCCTTTATAAGAGTAGCTGTGGTTTCCGGGTACTGGTGGCACATGCCTTTAATCCCAGCACTCAGGAGGCAGAGGCAGTCTGATCTGTCAGTTTCAGACCAGCTGGTCTACAAGAGCTAGTTAAGAAAAAAGAAAAAGAAAAAGGAAAAGAGAAAAGAGTAGCTGTGGTCATGGTATCTCTTCATAGCAAGTTGGTACCAAGGACTGGAGTGATAGACCTGACCATGTTTTTATTTGGAGGCATTTGGACTTTGGATATTTGGGTTAGAAAAGTAGTGGAACGCTTTAAGCACTGCTTAATAGGCCATGCTAGGAGGAGCATGAAAGTTAATGCTGAGAATGCTTTGAACTGTGGAGAATTGGGTCAAGAGGGTTTCAGAGGAGAAGAATTTTAGTATGTTTCCTAGAGATTGTTCTTGTGTTATTTTGGTGAAGAAAGTTGCTGCTTTTTGTCCTTGTTGGAAGAGTTGGCCTGAGGATAAGTGAAGAGATTTGGATTAATTTTATTGGCAGAGGGAATCTCAAAACAGCCTAGTCATGTGGTTAAATGTACAATTTTGGGAGATGGAGGTAAGTTCTGTGTTCAAGGAGACGAACAGATGAAGAAATGAAATAAAGGCAGAGTTGACCTCAGGGTAATATCCCACTCAGCTAAATTTCCTACCTGTGAAAAGGAATTAAAGAAAAGCTAAGGGCCAGGTGTGACAGTGTACACCTTCAATCCCAGCACTCAGAAGGCAGAGGCTGGTGGATCTCTGAGTTTGAGGCCAGCCTGGTCTACAGATAGAGTTTTAGTACAGCCCAGTTCAGGCAGTAAAGGAAACCCTGAAAAGTAGAAAGCTGGTGAAGATGCAATTGAATAAGGAGACCCAGTAGGCAGCAGAAATTGGCAGCTTTGGTCACGTGGTTCTGGAGTTAAGGATAGAAGAAAGGGGCTATGGGATTTGCCTCTGAGACTAAGGAAAGCCACTGAGACCAGGCATATGTTAGGAGTGTCCCTGAATGGAGGCCTAGAGAAACAGTTGCATGAAGCTGTGAAGGAGAAGCCTGGATTGACTTGGAGACCCCAGGATGCTGGAGATGCCAGAGCCATGGGACACCTGCTGAGGAGAGATGCTAACAGGGAGTGGGACCAGCCCAAGAGAAAGACGTGTGTTGCAGTCAACAAAACTGAAAGGAGTTGAGATCTGAAGAGCACTTCAATATCACACATGAAGATGCAGAGTTTGGCCTTTGCCCAGCTGGTTTTTGGTCTTGCTTTGGTCCAGTGTTTCCTCACTGTGCTCCCTGCCCTATGTTTTAGAATGATATTGTATATCCTGTGCCACTGTATGTTGGAAGTATGTGATCTGCTTTTTTATTTTTATTTCATAGGAGATTACAGTTAAGAGATTGCATGAATTCCAGAAAAGACTTTGAACTTTAGACTTTTAAAAAGGTTTAGATGTTATAGACTATGGGGACCTTTGAAGTTGGACTGAATGCATTTCTGCATTATGATAGGCTACAAGCCTTGGGGAGGAAGTGTGTCACTGTAGGGGTGGGCTTTAAGGTCTCCTTTGCTCACTACACCCAGTGTCTCAGACCACTTCCTCTTGTCTGTGGGATCCAGATGTAGCTCCTCCTCCACTCTCAGCTCCTTCTCCAGCACTATGTCTACGGCATGCTGCCATGTCCCACCATGATGATATGGACTAAACCTCCCAAACTGTAAGCCACCCCAATTAAACATTTTCCTTTATAAGAGTTTCCATGGCTAGGTGGTGGTGCTAGCCTTTAATCCCAGCATTTGGGAGGGAGAGGTAGGCAGATCCCTGATTTCAAGGCCAGTCTGGTCAACAAAGCAAGCTGGGGCTGTTACACAGAGAAACCCTGTCTCCAAATAAATAAATAAATAAATGAGAAGAAGGAAGGAAGGTGCTGTGAGGGGAGGCTGTAGATGGAGAGATGCTCAATGGTCAAGAGTACCCGTTGACTTGGTTCAGTTCCTAGCACTGACATACTCATAACCATCTGTAATTCCAATTCCATGGGATCCAATACCGTCTTCTGACCTCCTGATGGCACCAGGCAGACACATGATGAACTTAGATACATGAAAGCAAACCACTCAAATGCACAGAATAAAATAAACCAAAAATAAATGCCTTCAAAATTCAGTGCTGGGCCAGCAAGAAGGCTCTGCAGTTAAAACACTTGTTTTGAAAGCTTGATGGAACCATGTAAAAGGGATAGGAAAGAAATGACTACACAAAGTTGTCCTCTGACCAGCAGATACCTGCTATGACACTCACATGTACACACATACACACAAGCAACACATTTTTAAAAAACAAAAAGCAGAAATTATCAAATTTCTCTCACTTTCCAAGGATAATTATGTAGATTTTCCTGTTACTCTAAAACTTTCATTTTGGGGCTTATGAGATGACTCAGCAGTTAAGAGTACTACTGCTCTGGGGTTCAATTCCCACCACCCACATGGTAGTTTACAACCATCTGTAACTCTAGTTCCAGGAAATCTTGTCTTCTGTACCAAATGTGAATACTACACACAGACATACATGCAGACAAAACACCCATATATGTTAAATATAATTAAAAATAGAGAACCAAGGTTCTGCCATCCATGTTAGACAGCTAGCAACTGTCTGTACCTCCAGCTCCAGGGGGCCTAACACCTTTTTTCTGGCCTCTGAGGGTACCTGAATTCATATGCATATATCCACACACAGACACAGAATTTAAAACCAAAAATAAATATTTAAAATAAAATGGCTTGGTTTTATGAGATTGGGTATTGCTATGTAGCCCAAGCTGGCCTGAAACTATGTAGCTCAGGCTAGCTTCCACCCTAGTTAATTTTCCCACCATTGCCTCCAGAGTGCTGTGATTACAGGTGTTTAACCATCATGCCTGACACTTTGCAGCTTTCAGGAGGGGGTAGGATCAGAAGTTTGAGATAACCTGTGTTACATAAGACCCTGTTTAAAAATAACAACTAAAAGCCAGGCAATGGCTAATTCCAGTACTCAGGGAGGCAGAGGCAGGCAGATCTCTGGCCAACCTGGTCTACAGAGTGAGTTCCAGGGCAGCCAGAGATACACAGAGAAACCCTGTTTAAAAAAACAAAACAAAACAAAACAAAAAAAAAAACCAAAAAACAAAATGAAACAAAAAGCAAGCAAGCAAACAAACAAACAAACCAAAAACCACATCTGACAGTGGGCTGATCTCCAAAATATACAAAGAACTCAAGAAACTAGACCTCAAACACCAAATAACCAAAATAAAAAATGGTTGCCAGGTGGTGGTGTGTGGGAAGCCACAGCCCCAAGATGGCACCTGGCTGGATGCCAGGTAGTGCGAGCTTAGCTGTAAACAAGCCTTATTTGGAAGTGCTTGATGGATCTGGTGCGCTTCCTCCTTCTGTGGCCTATCCGGGATCGCCAGGTGGCATGAGCTGATTGGGCAGTGAGGGCACATTTAAGGGCTTGCTGGGGCTGGGAGGAGCAGAAGCTGATGTACAAGGTTCCTGAATAAACTGCTTGAAGAAGAGTCGTGGTCGTGTTTCCTTGCTGGCCGAGGTAGACGCAACAGTGGTGGCACATGCCTTTAATTCCAGCACTTGGGAGGCAGAGACAGGTGGATCTCTGTGAATCTGAGGACAGCCTGGTCTACTGAGCAAGTTCCAGGACAAGCTCCAAAGCTACAGCAAAAACCTATCTCAAAAAAAACACAACAACAAAAAAAATGGGGTACAGATATAGACACAGAATTCTCAACAGAAGAAACTCAAATGGCTGAAAGACATTTAAGAAACTGCTCAGCATCCTTAGTCATCAGGGAAATGCAAATCAAAACAACTCTGAGATAACATCTTACACTGATCAGAATGGCCAAGATCAAAAACACTAATGACAGTTTATCCTGGAGAGGATGTGGAGTACAGGGAGCACTCCTCCACTGCTGGCAAGAGTGCAAACTTGTACAGCCATTTTGGAAATCAGTATGGCGATTTCTCAGAAAATTGGGAATAAAATATACCTCAAGACCCATCAACACCAGTTTTGGGCATATACACAAAAGATGCACACTCATACCAGAAGGTATTTGCTCAACTGTGTTTATAGCAGCATTATTCATAATAACCAGAATCTGGAAACAACCTACATGCCCCTTAACCAAAATGAATAAGGAAACTGTGGTACATTTACATAACAGAGTATTACTCAGCTGTAAAAAACAGTGACATCTTGAAATTTGTGGGCAAATAGACTGACCTAGAAAAAAAACATTCCAGTGAGGTAACCCAGACCCAGGAAGACAAATAAGGTATGCACCCACTCATAAGTGGATATTAGACATAAAGCAAAGGATCACCAGTCCACAACCCCAGAGAAGCTAGGAAGCAAGGAGGTCCCTAAAAGAGACATACATGGACCTCCCCACAAGAAGGGAAATAAGGAGCACAGGGGGGGGGCAGGGTGGGAAGGGAGAGGGGAGGAAGAAAGGGGAATGAGAAGATGAATATGAGGGAATGGAATGGGTGAGCTGGAGGAAGGACAGAGAGGGAGGAGGAAAGAATTATGTTGATAGAGGGAGCCATTATGGGATTATTGAGAAACCTGGCACTATGGAAATTCCCAGGAATATACAAGGATAACTCCAAAAAAAACTCTAAGCAATAGTGGAGAGCTTGTATGAACTGGCCCTCCCTCATTACCAGATAGAGGACTGCTGTAATTGTCATCGTAGAACCTTCATCCAGCAACTGATGGAAGCAGATGCAGAGATCCATAACTAACCACTGGGCTGAGTTCCCAAAGTCCAGTCAAAGAGAAGGAGAAGTGATAATATGAGCAAAGTGGTCAAAACCATGATGGGGAAATCCACAGAAATAGCTGACCCAAGCAAGCTAGTGGGAGCTCACTGACTCCAGACTTATAGCTGTGGAACCTGCATAAGATCAAACTAGGCCCCCTGAATGCAGGTGACTGATGGGGGATGTCTTCCTGTATATATGTTTCTTTTATTGATTGATGAATAAAACACTGATTGGCCGATGGCCAGCCAAGAAGCATAGGCATAGCTACTGGATGAGAAGATTGGGGAGAGGAAGGCAGAGGGAGGCCATGAATCGGTGCCATGTAGAGACCGGGAAGATAGGGTGTGCCAGGCATTCTTTGGTAAGATAATACCATGTAGAAATGCATAGATTATGCATAGTTATGGGTTAATAATTAATACAGAGCTAGCCAATAAGAAGCCCTAGCCAGTGACCAAGTGTAATAATTAACATGTCTCTGTGTGCTTATTTGGGGCTGAAGGACAGAAACTTTCATAAACAGGTGACAGTGGGTGGCCTGGGCAGTTTGTGGGGCCACTGGCAGTGGGAGACAGGGGGGAGAGACAGACTTCACTGACTCCCCATGGGAGGTCTTATCCTTGCTGAGGAGAAAGAGGGGTGGTGGGTTGAGGTGAAGGTTTGGGTGAGTGGGAGGTGGGAAGAGAGGGGAAACTTGGATTAGTATGTAAAAATAAATAAATAAAAACAAAACGTATAACAAAACAAAATAACCCCCCCAAACCAAAACAAAACTAAACTAAATACAGAAAACCCTGCTGGGTGGTGGTAATACCTTTTGTGGTGCCTGAAGATCAGAGGGTGGAGCTAGCCACTAGTTAACCACAGAGGCCAGGCAGTGATGGCACATACTTTTAATCCCAGCACTAGGGAAGTGGATATAAGAAGTGATATGGCTGAGCCAAGATCATGCTACATCCTTTAATCCTAGCACTCTACAGAGGGAGTTCCAGGACAGCCAGGGCTACACAGAGAAGCCTGGTCTCAAGACAAACACCCAAACTTCAGCTCAACTGCTACGGGTACTTGCCACCAAGTCTTATCAGATTTCCATATCCCATACTGTAGAAGGTGAGAACTAGCTCCCATAAATTCTCCTCTGAGCTCTACATGTGCATGGCACACATATGCATTTACACATACCATGCATACCCAATACACAATAATATCTGTAAATGAAAAATAGCAGTTTCTTTTCTCCTTTCCTTTTCTTTCTTTTCTTTTCTGAGAGACAGTTTCTCTGTGTAGTCCTGGCTATCTTGGAACTCGCTTTGTAGACCAGGCTGGCCTCAAACTCAAGAGATCCACCTGCCTCTGCCTCCTGAGTGCTGGGATTAAGGGCATGTGCCAGCACCTCCTGGCACAGTATCATGGTATATCACAATTCTAAAAGAAAAAATGAACTGAAACACATCTTAAAGATAATGCATTTTAATTGTTGTGGAAATATGCTCCTTCTCTCCTCACATTCCCTATTCTTCCTGCTTGTGCTTGAAATCTCAAGTACTTATTTCAAGAAGTCGGGGCTGGACCACTGGGTTCAGGTATGACCCTGCTTTGCTCATCGGCCAAAGCCTCACAGTACTGTGTGGGCCAGACCTTGGGATCTTGATTGTGGACTTTGGCCACAAACTTAAGAACTTTCATCTTGCTGGTTTCTAGATTTGCTCGTGGACCCCACTGGAGCTCACAATCCACAGGATCTGTGTAGGGTATCCGTCGGGACTCCAGATAACGTTGCCTCACGAAGTCTTCAGTAATGAGTTTCTTCGGATCCCCAAACACTGAATGTTTCTTGGTGGGATACACCCCCAAACGACGTAGAAAATCCCAGACTTCGGTTTCCGGGATGCTGTGGCCATTCATAAAGATGAGCCCTAAAATAATCATCAGGAGGCCGGTGGTGGGCGTTCCTTGGCTGCCTCTCATTTCACCATCCTCCTCCACTGGCTCCAGGGCGTTGATGAGGATGTAGGCATTGCTCCTGGGTTCTAGTTCTACCAGCTTGTACCCGAACACGTAGTGGAGCCGCTCGGCAGCCAGCTTGAGCAGGTCTGGGAAGATGTCCTTGTAGTCTCGGATGACGTGCTTCAGGATACCGCTCCGCTTGATGGGGATCTTCCTCTGGTCCTTAATCAGTAAGAACTGCACTAGCTCTGCCACCTTCAATTCCAGCTGCTTCTGGGTCCGGAGTTCCGGGGCGGGGGTGGCCTGGGCGGGGCGGGAGCTCGATGACAAGGTGCCAGCGGAGTCCTGCTTGGCATCAGGGCATCCGGACCCACTCGGGACCTCACCAGAAGTGCCGCTCCCCGGCTCGGCACCAGGGCGGCTCCTGTTCCTCGGTTTTTGTAACATATGACCAGGCGGCGGAGAGACACTCCAGTAACCGGCAGCACTGGGCGACTGGAGTCCTTTGCACCAGGCGCCCTCGAGGGGGTGGGGCGGGGCGGCGGCGCGGGATCCAAGGCGTTGGGGACAACGACACACCAAGCTTTCTAGATGGATTTATGCTGGATCTCATTGGCTGGTTTCAAATGCCGAGCACCTTGCATTCCTGGAATATTGCTTTGCTGAAGAACTACCATCCTGACACATTGGCTCACAAATCTAAGTTGATTATATTTTACAGTTTGCATCCTTGTATGTCTTTCTCCTTTCTCTTGCAATGCTGGAGATGGACCAAGTGAGCAACTATCGTTAAGGCATGCGTTTTGTTTTTAGTTTAAGGACTATTTCAAAAATTTACATTCATTCATTTATTTACCGGGGCAACATGTGGCAGTCAGAGGACAACTTGGAAGGAGTCAGTCCCCTCCTTCCACCAAGTGATCTGGGGGAATGAACTCCAGTCATCAGGCTTAGCAGTCTGAGCCAAACTGGCTGTCCTCTAATCCTCTGGAGTGGCTGGGTTTACTGCAACCAGCTATCCATCACACCTGGAATCTTTCCCTTTCTCTTAATATTTTTGACAATTTGGGAGGGGGTGACAAATTATACATAAGTTTTTGTTTTTGTTCTTTGGAGACAATGCCCTATGTAGCTGATAACAGCCTCAAACTCTTCGTTGTACCTGAATCAGCTAAATGCTGGCCAAACTCTGCCGAATACATGTAATTTAGAATATCTCATTTGAGGGCCAGCAAGATGGCTCAGTGGGTAAAAACACTTGTTGCATAAAACCTGGTGACCTGAGTTTGCTTTTCAGAACTGGAACCCATGGGGGAAAGAGGAAAGAGTCCCCAAAGTTGTCCTCTGATCTCTACGCATCTCCCATGGCAGCTGTTCTCTACCTCTGAAGGGACTCTGGCCAGCTCAAGTGTGAGTGGCTCTGCCAGGCCTTGCTTCTCCCCACTCCCTCTGCCTTGCTAAAAACCATTGCATTACATCCCTGAAGTTAGCCCCCAAGGCCTAGTCCCTTATTTGGCTACTTCCCCCTTCTGAGGCTGACTACTGAATTCTAGCTATCTAGGTATTGAAGTCCAGCAATCAAAAGCCTCCTTGTGGATTCCCTAATTAACATGCCCTGTCAAAATATACCTTCTAGCCCATTTTAACACAGACCTCCCCTCTTTCTCTTCTGAAAAATTACATCTGCAAGGTCATTTACTGCTGTTTTCTGCCTGAGTCATAAAGCAGCCACTTTAACTTTTCTTCACCACTTAATAAAGGATTTCTCTGTTGGGGGGAAAAGTGTTTGGGTGTGGTTTGTGCCTAATTCAGGCTTAGGGAGGAAGCTACCCCCCCACCCTTTGCTCAGGGTGTGTGTCCTTCAATCTTTCCCCCAACAATCAATAATGAAATAAAAACTAACACAAGAGCTGGAGGGATGGCTCTGTGGTTGGGAGCATGTATAGAATTTCCAGGGGACTCAAGTTCAGTTCTCAGCACCCAAGTCAGATGGCTCACACCCACTTGTAACTCCAATTCTAAGGATTTCATGCATCTGGTCTCTGAGGGCACCTGAGCTCATGTACATATCCACACACAGACACATATACACATGTAACTAGAAATAGACCTTAAAAATTAAATGTAAAAAAAAATTTAAAGCATTAAAAAAATCCCATTGGAAGCCGGGTGTTGATGGTGCATACCTTTAATCCCAGCACTGGGGAGGCAGAGGCAGGTGGATCTCTCTGTGAGTTCGAGTCCAGCCAGGTCTACAGAACTAGTTCCAGGACAGCCTCCAAAGCCACAGAGAAACCCTGTCTCGAAAAACCAACAAAAACAAACCAAACCAAACCAAACCAAATCCCATTGGAACCATCATTCTTCAGGTTACAGGCCAGATTGCTTCTACTTAAATAAGGTAGGATAGGAGCTGTGCTTCTGTGTCTGTTTTTTTTTTTTTTTTTTTAAATAACTGTGGGGGCAGGGTGTTGGTGGCACACCCCTTTAGTTCCAGCACTCAGGAGGTAAAGGCAGGCGGATCTCTGTGAATTGAGACCAGTCTGGTCTATAAGAGCTAGTTCCAGGACAGCTTCCAAACCCACAGAGAAACCCTGTCTCAAACAACAACAACAACAACAACAACAAAAAAAAAAAAACCAAACCAAAAACAAAATAAATAAAATAATTGTGGGGTTGGAGAGATGACTCAATGGTTAAGAGCACTGGCTGCTTTTCCAGAGGACCCAAACTTGATGGCCAGCATCCACATGGCAGCTCATAACTGTCTATAACTCCATTTTCAGGGGATCTAACACAGTCTTCTGGCCTCCAAGTGCACAAAGCACAAATACAGTACACACGTACACACATACACACATACCACAGAGACAAAATACCCATACACATAAAACATAAAAGTCAGATGGTGGTAACACATGCACATGCCTTTAATCACAGCACTGGGAACAAAGAAGCAGGCAAATCTCTGTGAGTTCAAGAAATAGTTCTAGGATAGTCAAGACTACGCAAAGAAACCCTGTCTCTAAAAACAAAAAAAGAAAAAAGTTAAAACAAACAAACAAAAAGATTTAAAATTTTTTATGACAGAATGGTGACCCATATTTTTATCAGAGGCAGGCAGATCTCTGTGAGTTCAAGGTCAGCTTGAACTTCTGGACTCCATGGGTACTTTTAGCACATATCACAAAAATAATAAAAATAAATCTTTATAACAAAATTAAAAAGGAGAAGTGAGACACATTACAGATGATATAGAGGCATGAAATCCCAGCATTTAGTAGGCCAGACAGGGTTACACAGAGAAACCCTGTCTCAAAAAAACAAATAAAACAAAACAAAACCTCTCCAACGTTATCTCTAAGTGTAGATATGTCCATAGCTAAATCACTTGATGCATTCAGGGAGAAATATCTTTTTATTATATTTGATTTATATATAATTGTCTGTATGTGTGTCATGTCATGAACATGGAGGTTAGAGGACAATTTGTAGGAGTCTCTCTTTCAATCATGTGGGTCTTGGGATCAAACTCAGGTTGTCAGGCTTTGTGGCAAGGGCCTTTACCTACAGAGCCATCACATAGGCCAGAAATATCTTTTCTAGTTTCTTTGCACTGACTCATTTTTACATATTTTTGGTTACAGTGATGATAATTTGGTATGTGTGTACTTTGTTAAATGCTCAAACCAGGGTAATTAGCATTTCCTCCTCCTCTTCCTCCTTTTTTTCTAAGACAGAGTTTCCTTGTGCAGTCCTGGTTGTCCTGGAACTACCTCTGTAGACCAGGTTGGTCTCAAACTCAGAGATCCACCTGTTTCAGCCTTCCTTGTGCTAGGATTAAAGGCACATGCCACCACTGCCCAGTGAACTTCCATCTTTATAACGATTTGTCAGTTCCATGTGTTGAAAACTTTTAGACTCTTCTAAAAAATGGTCATTGTTGTTTTCTTTTGCTCTTTGTTTGATTTTTGAGACAGGGCCTCCTTATGTGGCTCAGGCTAGCTTCTACCTCACTATGTAGTTGAGGATGATCTTAAACTCCTAAATCTCCTGGCTCCAACTCCTAAGTGCTAGGATTACAGGTTTGTACCACTACATCTGACTCTGGTGTGACATCTAAATATGTACATAAACCGTGTAAGACTGAATCAGGTAACAGCATATCCATCCTCAGACATATATCATTTTTTTGTGCTATTGTGCCTTACCTTTTTATTATTTTTTCTTGTCTTTAATAAGATTAATCAAATATTTTATGTTATTACATTTCTCCCCTATTATATTTTTGCTTGTATTTATTATTATAATCATCATTATTATTGATTATTTTTGGATTGCTAAGGCTCAAATGGGGGACCTTGCTAGGCAAGCAATGTACCACTGTCACACTTTCCAAGTCCTTTAGTGTTCTTTTTAATGTCTCTACATTTAATTTAAAAATTTAAAATTTATGTGTATGTGTGTATGGGCATGGGTATGCACACTTAGCACAAGTACCCCAGAAGGCCAGATGAGGGCATCAGAGCCCCTGAAGCTGGAGTTAACAGGCAGTTTGAAGTCTGATATGGGTGCTGAGAACCAAACTCAGGTCCTTTGCAAGACCTGCAAGAACTCTTAACCCACTGGGCCATCTTTCCAGTTTGCCTCTACATTTGAAAGACACACTTTGGGTTTCTTGTTTTGTTTTTAAATGTATTTATTTATTTTTATTACATATATAGTCTTCTGCCTGTATATACACATGCAGGCCAGAAGAGGGCACCAGACCTCATTACAGATGATCATGAGCCACCATGTGGTTGCTGGGAATTGATCTCCGGACCTCTGGAAGACTTGTGAGCCAGCCCTCTAGCCTCGAAAGATGCACTTTGTGAAGGCAGTATTTAATCTAGGGGATGAATATTAAAAAAGATTTTCAGAAAGTATGGCCCTTACAAATCTGGAGTACACTCATCAGCTTAATAGTTCAACATACTCTCAGAACATATAGTAACCCATTTGATAAAAGTTACAACAGCAACCACAACAATACCAATCAGTTACACTTACATTTGGCCTTGTTGTATGCTAGGCATTGTCCTAATAAAGAAATAAATTTATGTATTCATGGCAGAGTCTCACGCTGTAGCTTTGGCAGGCCTCAAACTGGTGGTAATCCTCCTGCCTCATCCTCACAAGTGCTGGCTTCTAATCACTTTATAAACATCTAAGTACATATACATATATGTATACAAATAACATACATTCTGCCTTTGATTTTATTTATTTATTTATTTATTTATTTATTTATTTTTGAGACAGAGTTTACCTGTAGCTTGGAGCCTGTCCTGGAACTCCCTCTGTAGATGAGTCTGGCATGAACTCACTGAGATCCACTTGCCTCTGCCTTCTGAGTGCTGGGACTAAAGACATGCACCACCACTGCCCGTCTTGTTTTTGGTTTCTTCTGCCTTTGAGACAAGATCTCACTACATAGCCCTGGCTGGCCTAGAACTCTCCTTGTAGACCAGATTGGCCTTGAACTCACAAAGATCTTCCTACTCTGGAGATTAGGATTAAAGGTGTTCATCACCACGTCTGCTATTATACATTCTTTCTCATATGAACATATATGTGAACAGAAAGCCAGCCCCTCTTGTTCCTTCAAATTCCACTTGAATCCCCACTCTCAACTTCTTGGATTCTCTGTCCCAAGTCAGGCTGTCTGCCCTCACTCCCGCCCGGCCCCTAGGCCCCGGGTTCCTTCTTGATGTCTATCTCTACTCAAATCTATTTTGCTTGGTGGCTGCTTAGGGGAATTGTGACTTCCAGAATGGACCATAGAGATTCCATCCCCTGCCTCTGCCACGGCTCACTAGAGCCTTTAACCCCTACTTCAAGTGTCTATTTCTGCAAATCCCAAACAGTGAAGACCCTCAATAACTACTGAATGAGGTTGAAAGGGAAAAAATGAAGAATGAACACAAATACACAGGTGAGTCTGTAAACAGGATTCTCTCACCCTCTCAGTCACTTGCAGACTGCCTTGTTCTCCCCCAACAAGCCAGTACCAAGTTGGTCCTGGGGAGGGGAGATGTAACAGTTCCGATTCCATCTATGCAGGCTGAGGTAAAACCCTGATTATCTTTGTATTCTCCACCTGGCCCCATGCAGGGGCCCTAGAATCGCTGGTCTCTCTCCCTGCTGGGCATGTTATGATGTAGTGAGGCGGAGTAGGAAGGATTTTGCTTCCTTCCTTTACCTTACTCTCTTTCCTAGTCTCCTGATGATGCTTCTCCATGGTGCTCCTCCGCTGGGACATACAAGAGTCCTACAGCTGGCCACGGCCTGCACGTTCCAAGAGCTTGGATGAGGGGACCCTGTAGGGATCCTATCAGCTGACACTGACACTCACCGCCACCTCCCTGTGTGGTTCCTATAGCCTGTAGCTGCTCCTTTTGACTGGGCACCAGGTCTACCACGCGATCTGCTATTGGCTGTGAGACCTGTCGATCCTGTGCCTTTACGTGGCATCAAAGAGGCAGTCCAGGATAGGCCAGAGCCTGAGGGGCTCTAGGGTCACGTGCCGGTCCGGAGGGTGGACTCTACAAAGGCGGCCGTTCCGGGCTCCGCCTCCTTCTTAAACGGCACGCGCATGTGCACATGCGCACTAGAGCATCTTGGCGCCACCAGGCGGTGGGCGGGGCGGGGAGTCCGGAGGGGGCCGAGGGGGAAAGGAGGGCGAGGGTGGGAGGGAGGGTTGGGTAGAGGGGAATGGGGAACCCGAGTGGGTCAAGGGGGCTAGGGCCGAGGGCAGGCGGCAATGTCTGTGGAGAAAGAGGTTCCGTTCAAGTTTTCACATCCGGGCTCGAAAGTACGGAGTAAGCAGTTTAGGGGGCCGCGGGGACGAAGTAAGACCCGGACACCCGGCGCACGGAACAAGGCCCACGTCCACAGGCGATCGCAACCAGAGCCTTACTGCAAGAAGGCACAAGTGCAAGAGAAAGAAAAGGTGTGGACGCCCTGGAATGGGCTCATCGTGATTGGGAAGAGAGTGGAACTTTTGGACAGAAACCTGCAAAAGTCTAAACTGTGGGACTCAAAGTTGGAATCTGAGAACTGGAAGCTGGAAGTCGTCGGGAGGAAGATTTCGAAAGAGAGATCGGGCCTGCATCAGGAAAGAGTGGACACGAAGCTCTTGAACAGTGTAGGAAAGACATCACAAGCTTCAGCAAGTTTGGAGGATGACAACTCAGAAGAGATTCCGGGACAGCAGGAGGACAGACTCAAAGCTAGATCTGTGTCTAATAGTACCGAGATGAAAGCAGAGCCTGAAGAAAGACTGCCATCTAAGGACAAGTTGAGGACTAGTGGAGAGGACTTGAGGTCCAGAGGGGATCAACCGAGGCAGAATGAGGAGTTGGAATCGAGTGGAGAGAACTTGATGTACAAGACAGAGAAACGGGTGTCCATGGGAGAGAAGGTGGAGGGCAGGAGAGAGAAGCGGAGGTCTGTTGTAGAGAAAATGGACAGTCGAGAGAAACGGGGCTCCGTCAGAGAGAAGGTGCCAGACAGTGGAGATAAACGGGGCTCTATCAGAGAGAAGGTGCCAGGCAGTGGAGAGAGACGGGGCTCTATCAGAGAGAAGGTGCCAGGCAGTGGAGAGAGACGGGTCTCTATCAGACAGAAGGTGTCAGACAGGCGGAGATCAATCAAAGAGGTATCAGACAATGGAGAGAAACGGGGGTCCATCAGAGATAAGATGTCAGACAGGAGGGGGTCCATCAGAGAGAAGGTATTGAACAGTGGAGAGAGGCGGGGGTCCATCAGAGAGAAGGCATTGGACAGTGGAGAGAAACAGGGGTCCATCAGAGAGAAAGCATCCAACAGCGGAGAGAAACGGGGCTCCATCAGAGAGAAGGTGTCTGACAGTGGAGAGAGGCGGGGGTCCTCCAAAGAGAAGGCGAGGTCAAGTGATGAAAAGCTGAGGTTGAGTAGAGAGAAATTAAGGTCCAGTGAAGAGAAGCCTAGGACTGATGATAAAAATCTGAGATCTACTGAAGATAAACTGGAGTCAGATATTGAGGAAGTACAATCCGATGAGATGAAGCAGGAAGAACATTCACAAACGAGTAGTACAACAGAAGAGAATATTGAAAGAGTGATAAATATTACTGGTGATGAAAGTGTGATGGAAAATATGAGTCTGAAACAGATTCCTTCTGAAAGTGTAGAAGGGAGAGATGAACAAAAGGGAGCAGAGGAAGGGGTAGAAATTAACAAATTTGTCTTGGATGAAATGGAAGATACTGCTGATGACTCTGTTCCTATGGAAGAGAAAGACACAATTGGAAAAGGCTCTGGTGAATCAGGTGGATGAACAATTGAAGGTAAAGGAGATGGGAGAAGTATTGGAAGTCAAAGAGAAGCTAGAGCAAAACAAAACTTTGTTGACCCTGGAAGGGTAAATATGAGTGAGGATTCTGGACCTGAAATGACAGGGAATGGAGCGGAGTTACTGGGCATGAAGGTCAAGCCAATGACAATGAGAGCGAAAAGTGGGGAGAGGGGGATGGGAACATTTTAAGGAGAAAGGAAAAAAAAAATGGGAATGAATGCTAAGCAGAAGGAAGCTGACTGACTGCTTCATTCTTGAACTATTTGAGAAATGAGTCTAGGGTGGGCTGGATTTTGGCAGACATGTACTGGTCAGGGGTATGAAATGTAGGAGAATGTAAAAAACAAACAAACAAACAAACAAAAAAACCCAAAAAACAAATTATAGCAGGATAAAGGATGAACATTGAGGGTTGTGGGAGAAGCCACAAACAGGTGATGTGTCTGAAGCGGGGCTCCAGCAGGAGTGAAACAAAGGGAAGAAGAGTGATCGAATTAAAAGGTGCAGGAAATAAGAAGCCATATCCTACCATGGTGATTAGATTTGTTGATATTTCTATACAGTCCATGCAGCCAGTTTTAACATCTTTGACAGTCCTCTTATGAGAGCCCTATGTATCTGAACCAAACTCATCTTCACTAGTAACTAATTCTATTTTCACAGCTTCACTTCACCCTCACATGGGTTTGAATTACCCATACTTAAAGTAAAGGTATTCTATTTGTACATGAATTGTTTCCATCTTTCACTTTTTCTTTTTTTCTGGTTTTTCAAGATAGGTTTTCTCTGTGTAGCCATGGCTGTGTGGAATTCACTCTGTAGACCAGGCTGGTCTTGAACTCACAGAGATCCACCTGCCTCTGGCTCCCAAGTGCTGGGATTGAAGGTGTGTGCCACCACCACCTGTCCCATCTTTCACTTTTAATTATTCAGCTAATTACATGATCGTGTGTATGTGTGTGTGTGTGTGTGTGTGTGTTGGTCTAGATATGTACCCCTTGCTGGTCCAGAACTATATATATGTAGACCAGGCTGTCCAGGCTGGCCTCTCAAATACAAATATCTACTTGTCTTTGCTTCCCAGGTACTATAATGTTTGTTTCTTTTTTGAAACAAGGCTTCCTCTTAGTTCAGACTGACATCAGAATCTCAGTCTTCCTGAATTAAGCCTTTTATCTTTTCCATAATCTACTCTTTTCCCAAGAAAAAGAAAAGGCCTTCAGTAACCAGTGTCAAGACTCCATTATTGGGCTGGAAAGTTGGCTCAGTGGAGAAGGACACTTACTGTTCTTGCAAAAGACCCGGTTCTATTCCCAGCACCTACATGGAGTCTCACCACTTCTTCAGGCAGCAAGCACACATCTGGTGCACAGATGAAGACACATTAAAAAAACAGAAGACTCTTATCAAGATAGGTTCTGTTGTTCTGATGGTAGAGGTAGCAGAGTAATAGCATAGGAAGAATATTTCATCAAGCCTGGCGTGGTGGCACACAGTTTTAATCCCAAAATTCAGGAGGCTGAAGCAGGCAGATCTCTGAGTTCTAGGCCAGTGAGAACTACATAATAGACCCTGTCTCCAAAAACTTTTTTCACCCTATTCTCATCTGGTTATTTTTTAAAAGCACAATTTCTGAATATAAATTTCATATTATGTATTACAAGTATCTGATAGCTTCATGTCTTTTGTCATTGTTGTTATTGGTGGTGATGGTGGTGTGAGTGTATGTGGTGTGTGTGTGTGTGTGTGTGTGTGTGTGTGTGTGTGTGTGTGTGTGTTGAGACAGAGTCTTATATAGCCCAGGCTGGCTTCAAATTCTGGAACTCATATGTGGCCAACATTGACCTTGAACTCCTGATCTTCCTCCCTCTACCTCCAGAGTGCTGAGATTGCAGGTGTGAGCCACCACACTCAGGTTATGTGGTACTGAAGATGAAGCCTGGGACTTTGTTCATGTTAGGCAAGCACTCTGCCAACCCTGATACATCCTAAGGCTTCATTTATGTTTTGACAAGGTCTCAATCTATAGCCCAAGTTTGCCTACAACTCACAGTGCAGCTCAGGCTGGCCTCAAACACACAGCATTACTCCTGCCTAAACTGGGATTGCAAATGTGAGCCTCCACTCTTGGCTGCCTCATGCTTTTTTCTTAAGTTTCCTGAATATTTTTGCATAGGTTTCTCCACAAGATTTTTAAGCCCTTTGCTATATTTCTATGTACAAGGTTAACCCTAAGATAATTTCTCCATCCCTCCTCTCCTTATTTTGCTCAGATGCATCATTGGATAACTTCCAGAGAAAGTAATCTATTGTGCCAGTCTCTCCTATCTCCTCTGTCCTCCATCCCTCCACCCCCTCACCCGCAACCTCTCTTGCCTTACTATATTGCTCAGTCTGGTCCCAAACTCCAAATCTTCCTGCTTTAGCCTCCTGAGTGTTAGAATTACAAACCACACCATGCCTGTAGTAGTTGTTAATTATCTGTTTGTCCCCCTCTATCATTGACTTTACTCGTTTCAGTATGGTTTAAAATCAAGGGATAAATCACTGCAATAATTTCCCTGCTTGTTAGACTGTCCCAGGGCTCTGTGGAGCCTGCAGGTGTCTGTTCTATACTTGAACCTGACTTGTTTGGGCACAGGATGTGTGCTCAGCCGCTTGAAGATGTGCTTTGTTTTCCTTCCGTATTGCTACTGGGATACCAGGTCCATTTTTATACTGGAGCCAGTTGTACAACAAGCCATTCTGTGGCTATGCCTTGTGCTCTGTTCTCTGTCCCTGATGATTCTGCCTTTCTCTTGGCCCGAAGCTGATTGGTTGCTCTTTCCTCCATTTCCTGAGAACTCTGATCCTGTAGTTGGATAATAAAGTAAAGATAGTGGAAATGGGTAGAATTGTAAAGATAAGCTTCTGGTGACTCAAGCCTGCTAACAGAATCTTTTTATGTATTCATTAAAAATTTTTAAAGAGATTTATTTTTTGTGTATGAGTGTTTTGCTTGTGTGTATGCATGTGCAGCATGTGCCCAAAGAAGCCAAGAGAAAGTGTTGGACCCTTTGGAACCAGAGTTACAGATGATTGTGAGTCAGGTTCTCTGCAAAATCAACAAGTGCTCTTAACCACTGAGTCATCTCTCCAACATTCTGTATTTTTTTTTTTTTTTTGAGGCAGGGTCTAGCTATATACCTAGGCTGATCTTGAACTTTTTATGTAGCCCCAACTGACCTCAACCTCTTGATCCTGTCTCCCAAATGCTGAGATTACAAATGTGCATGGTCATTCCTGTCTTTCTTTGGTCATAAGCTTTTGTTTCTGGTAAATGATACTGATAACATTTTCTGGCTTCTTGTTATGAGCAGTTAAGATGAATAGGCACAGGTCAAACACTATGATTATTCTCTGTCATTTAGCCCTTTGCTCAGCTCTTTACAACGGGAACTATTCCTCTACCAAGTCTACCAATTCAGAACTTCCAAAGCCAGACTATAATTCAGACAGTCTGACCTCAGAGCCACCCTATTCAGCTGTACATTCTTCTCCACTGTTTCTGGGACAGCTGACTTAATTTTCTAGCGTGTCAAAGTAAGCTCTGTCTGGGGAAGGGGAGAGGCTGATAAATAGCCCTTCTATTCATTCAGTGAAGCTTGCAGAAGAAAAAAATCACTTCAATGGCAAGTCTGTAAGAACATAAATTCAGGGGCTGGAGGTCCAGCTTAACTGTTAAGAGCACTGACTGCTCTTCCAAGGGACTGAGGTTCAAGTTCAGAACCACAGGGTAGCTCACACCCATCTGATGCCCTCTTCTGACATCCTCGGGCAGTGCACTAATGCAGAACACACATACACATGCAGATAAAACACTCTTATACATAAACAATCTTTCTAAAAAAGAACATGAATGCAAAAGGTAATGTTTATTTTCTTCCCTAGACCTGTGTCTACCTGAGAGCATCATTTGAAGATTCCTCTGGTGACTCTCTGTGAGCTGAGGTATTGTCAGCTCTTTAAGAGACACCTTCTTAGGCTCAAGATCAAGACAACATTTGCCATATATGGGAAATGACCTACATATCAGGATACAGAGATTCTGTCTTTGGCTGGGTGAGTTCTTTGCCTGAGCTGTCAGATGCATTCCACCAAGACCACAGACACCAGTGAAGATCAAGTTATTATGACAAATGCCAACTGCCTGGTAAGTGCAGATTGTCCAACTATCCAGATAGCTAGAAGGTTTATTTGCTTATTTATTTGTTGAGACAAGTTCTTACTTGGTAGCTCAGGCTGAGCTAGAACTGCTATGTAGACTAGCCTGGCCTTGGAATCACAGAGCTCTGCCTGCTTCTGTTTCCAACATGCTAGAATTAAAAGTGTGTAGTGCTATACCCAGCCCCCATTTTAGTTTGAAAGTTCTTGCTATGTTCCCTAGTATTGAAGTTTAATAAGGATCAGGAGAAACAAGTAGGCCGAATAGATGTTTATTCAGGGAGAAATAACTCACAACATAGACAGATGAACACCAGCAGGTTCCTGGTCCCAAGGATGCCTCTGGAAGTGCTCCTGTCCCTGAGAGCTCTCCGAGCCCCCTCCTCAGCCTTAGTTCCCCCAGGTCTCCTGTCTCCACCCCCATGGGCGTGGTCTATGCCACAGGTGTGGACAAGGTAAATATCTTACTACACCCTAGGTTGGAACTAAACTCATGATTCCCTCCGATTCCCAAGTAGCTCAGATAACAGGCCTACAAAATCTCACCTGGCTGGGTTTTATGTGTTTAATACCTGTTCTGCTAAAGTTAACCAATTTGCATATATTTCTGGGAGTTAAGAGCTTTTGAGTGGATTTTATATGTTTCTGTTATGTATTTTTTATTGTTTTGTATATTTCCAGTGGTCAGTGTTCCTTTTCCTTCCTTCCTTCCTTCCTTCCTTCCTTCCTTCCTTCCTTCCTTCCCTTCTTTCTCTTTCTGTTTCCAAGGCAAGGTCTTATTATGTAGCTCTGGCCATCTGGAACTCACTATGTAAACCAGGCTGGCCTTGAATTCACAGAGATCCACTTGTTTTTGCCTCTTGAGTGCTGGGATTAAAGGCATGTGCCACTATGCCCAAATAGATCTGTTTTTCTTATAAAAAGGATTTTGAAACTAATATCCTCATTATTATTTTGGCTCTTGTTTCGATGGCTTAATTCATTCAGTAAGCACCCAATACTTATTATATGTTGGCTGGAAATACAGGGGAAAATAAATCATGTCCTTGTTTTTAGTGTCTTTTCTTACACTGGGACAAATGTATCATAAGTACATTCCAAGGCACGATGAAATGATTTAAAGAGGCTAGGTAGGCCCAACTATAGAAGTAAGTTAGTAAGACATCAGAAAATGTTCATTTGGGGCTGGACTCACACAGGTAAGAGGACCTGTGCAGTGGTGCACACTTTTATTCCCAGAACTCAGGAGGCAGAAGCAGGTGGATCTATGTGAGTTCAAGGCCACCCTGGTATATTTGGAGAGTTCTAAGCCTGCCACTATATAGCCAGGCTATATAGTGAGACTAAAAATAAATAATAAAGAAAGAAAAGAAGAGTAAGAAGAAACATACAAGTGACCAAGAGAACAAATTTTCTAAACAGAAAGATAAACCCTTTGAGAGCCATGCTGGGAAACTGAATGGCTTGCAAGAAAAGGCAAGGATAGGATCTGGTAAGGCTAAGGTAGGAAGAATAGAGTAGGAAGTCTGGGCTAATCAGATATGAGCATGGGCAGAGCCTTGATGAAAGAGTTTAGACTTTGTTCTGTAGGTTATAGGGGGAGTGACGCCATCAGGTCTGTATTCACTTGTGGAATTGACTAAGCCAAGAGATGGAATCACCTGTGCCCAGGTAACAGTTCAGGGTGGAGAGGGCAAGGCTATGAACTAAGGCAAAGAGTGGGAATAAAGAAAAAAGAGGTGTTTTTGTCAGGGTTAGAAATGCTGTTCAAAGCAGAGGCAGGTAGATCTCTGAGTTCTAGGAAGCCTGATCTACAGAGTGAGTTGTAGGACAGCCATGGATACACAGAGAAACCCTGTTTATAAACATAATCCTACTCAAGTAAGACTTGCTCATTCATTGTAAATAAGTGGTAAGAAAGGAGACACCCAACTCATAGACACTGCTGGCTAATGTGCGAATCGGGCTTCCTCTGCACTGTGCTCTTTGTATTTGTCCCTTAATCCCAAAAGAGTTTTACGAGAGGGATTGTGAATTTTTAAGTTTACTTTTTAGTGTATGTGTGAGGTGTGTGTGTGTGTGTGTGTGTGTGTGTGTACCATGGCATGCATATGGCTGTCAGAGGACAGCTCTTGGGAGTAGAGTCTTGCTTTACACTTTGTTGAAGCAGTGTTCTTGTTTTTCTTTTCAACTCTCTATAGGAGTGCTGGGATTATAGCCGCATGCCATGGTTTCTGGCTTTGTTTTGTTGTTTTTAATATGGGTTCTGGGATTTGAACTCAGGTTGTCAGGCTTGCACAGCAGGTGCTTTTATCCACAGAGCTATTTCACTAGCCAGGAATTGTTTTAATGTATGAGTTTTATATATATCATAAAAATTGAATATGGAGTGCTCAACCCAAGTGACATTGCTAGTTTGTACTGACTGTAAATGTTGGAAATTGGATTTGAACCCAAGGGAATTAGCACTCTTTCTACTATATTGTAGCTCAGCCAGCTGACTGGATTACCACTGTCAAGTAATTGGAGGTCAGGCTACCTTCCTGGGAAGCAGTTAATAACAGCTGTGTGGGTGGAGCAGGCCTGTTATCCCAACACTCAGGAGTTAAAGGCAGGATGATCAGGAGTTTAAAGCCATCCTTGGATATGTAATGAATTTGAGTCTAGCCTGGCCTATATGAAACCTTGTCTCAAACAAACAAACAAAAACAACAAAACAAAAAGCAGAAGAAAGGGAAGAGAAAGCAGCTGCAACACTTAATTTGATAGATTTAGGCTTAGAACTGCTTACTGCTCCCAAAAGTACACAGTCAAGCCCCTGTGCATTATTTCCAGCCACAGGCACATTATAGTGGACTCATTTTTTTTTTTTTGGAATGAACTAACTCAAAAATTTTTGAGTTCACAGTAAAATATAGGTCTTTATATTTTCTTGAAAAACTGAGACTATCTGGCCACACTAGACCCATGCAGCAAACATAGACACCTTTCTGATTCCTTTACCAGGGCCCATGTGCCTTTATCACCTGAGTGTTCCCAGCCTGCCTGGGGTCCCTGCCCACCACTGCAGGTCCTGTGTTTGCACATACTGTTCCTCCATGCAGGGGACCACTCAGCTTGTGTTAGGTGCCAGTCTGTGCTTTAATTCCTGTTGGGCCCAGGCTTCCCTTGCTGCCTAAATATCCCTTTGAGTTTAAGATGTGAGGTATAATATGTGTGTTGTTTGCTTTCTTCTTTAACCCGTGAGAACTGTAAAACAACAACAACAACAACAAAAAACCTGATCACCTCAATACTTACTGTGTGTGAGCCCACAGACAGGAGGGTTTATGTATAGTTGCTGCAGGACAAAGGTGAACAGTCATAGTTCCTGAGATCAACATTGACCAAATGCCAACATAGGTCAGACATGGTGGGTCACACCTTTAGTCCCAGCCCTCAGGAGACAGAGACAGGTAGATAGTAGAGTCTATGTCTGTAATCCCCTCAGACTTTAGGAGGTTGAAACAGGAGAATCACTCTGAGTTTGAGAACAGCCTGGTCTATCTATGGAGACTCTGTCTTAAAATACCAAACAAAATAAAAGAAACAAAACCTGCAATATAGCTGGGTGGTGGGAAATGGCAAAAGTAGAACCTTGGCATGCAAAATTTGGTGGTGTTGTTGTTTTGTGAAGAATCATGTGTTTAGATTTTTGAGCTGTAGACTTTGGCTACTTTATAAGGAAATCTTCAGGGAAAATATGTGGATATGTGCATATGACTGTGTGTGCCACAGTTCAGATAGCTAAACATGTTCTTTAGAGATCCAATTTTAGTACATTTATACAAAGTTTTACATTTACTCTAAGTTAGCAATAAGTTCCTGTACCACTGAGTGGAAGTTCAATGTTGGCAACAGATATTTTGTAGAATTAGGTACTTTATTACCAAGTTTAAAAAATTTTTTCAATCTACTTTAATCGCTTTAAGTTTTTTAAAATTTTACTTTTAGAATATTTATTTTATGTGTATGAGTGTGTGTGTATATGTGCCTGCATATATGTCTGTGCACCATGAGCATGTCTGGGGCCCTCAGAGGTCACAAGAGGGCGTTAGATCCCCTGGAACTGGAGTTACAGATGTTTGTGAGACACATGATCTGGGAGCTGGGTACCCGGCCTGGGTCCTCTGAAAGAGCAACAGGTGCTCTTAACTGTTTCTACAGCCCCTTATTATCAAGTATTTTATTTGTTTGTTTGTTTGTTTTCACTTTTTCTGACCTCTTATTTCTTTTTTTAATTCTTTGATCATACATTATACCAAGTGCAGTTTTCCCTCCCAACATTTCTCCCATCCCCACCCTCTCCCAGATCTACTTCTCCCATTCCCTTCTAAAAGAGAGGCCTTCTGGTTATCAACTAAACATGTCATAACAAGTTATAATAAGAGTGGATGAGGCAAACCAGTAGAAGGAAGAGGGTTCCAAGTGCAGGCAAGAGTCAGAGACACCCTCACACCCACTGTTAGGAGTCCCACAAGAACACCAAGCTACACAACCATAACACATATGCAGAGGACCTAGCTCAAACCCATACAGGGTCCATGATTGTCCCTTCTATCTTTGTGAGTCCCTGTGAGCTCCACTTAGTTGATTTTGTGGGCTGTGTTTTCATGGTGTCCTGGACTCCTCTGGCTCCTACAATCCTTCCTCCCTCTCTTCTGCGGGGTTCTCCTGGCTCAGTCTAGTGTTTGGCTGTGAGTCTATGCATCTGCTTCCATCAGTTGTTGGGTGAAGCCTCTCTAATGATAGTTGGCCTAGGCACTGATCTATGAGTAGAGCAGAATATCATTAGGAATCATTTCATTGACTTTTGTTTTGTTTTGTCTATCTGTGTCTGGTTCTATCCTGGGTCTCTGGGCTGTCCAGGTTCTGGTCCTTGGCCATCCAGCCAGTGTCAGGCATGGGCCTCAAGTTGGACCAATCTTTGGTGGGACACTCCCACAAGTT